TGCCCAGCGGCCAGCGCCACCGCGGCCGCGCCAGTCGCGCCAAGCTGGCTGGCCGCTGTTCGCGCGAGCACTCGCGGGCTAGCGCAGCCGCAGGAAAGGACAAGTCAACACCCAGCACTCATCGCACTCGCCGCCGCATGGGTTTTGCAAAACCAAGTTGCGGGTGGGTGGATGGGGTTTGTGCACGAGCATGGAATGTGCAAATCGTTTGTAAAAATCAATTGGTCAGCATAGGTTTCCTGTTTCGGAAAATAAAATATATTCGCCCCCCCCCCCCCTCGGCTATCCCCCCCCTTTCCGTAGTGCAATTGTATGTTGGTTCTGCCCCGTCGCCCATCCGACATATAAGATCACGCCGCTCCAACTAAACGGCATCGATCCGCCCCCCCCCCCCCCCCCTTCGCCGTCAGCAAAGTAATTGTGTGTTGCGCGCTTTGTTACCGCGAATCTTAAGTTTTCAGCACTCCATGCCGCAAATGTGACAAAGTGCACGCGCGCGCGTCGTCGCGTGCGCAAGCCGAAATCCACGGGGAACAATGGGTGTCGCAAGGATTTCAACATCGCGTGCCCAAGAAGCATGCAAAACACAAGGCTTCGCACCAATGTTGTTCAAAAACGATCAGAAAAGGGACGCGCGCGACCAGAATGATAAAACTTGCGCTCGCGCCCGTGCGCACTCGCAAGAAAATCGTACGTGTTTTTTTTTTTTTTAGCATTGCCAGGATGCTACCAGACGGGCTTCGCGCGCGCGTCGAAGTCGTTCGAACGCCCTCGCGCGCGCTGTCGCATCGCGCGCCCGCGTCGTCGCGCGCCCGCGCCAGGGCCCTTCAAAAACCAAATCCCTGCAAGGACCTCAACTGAATGCGCCGAAACCACGCGACACATCACGTGGTTTCGCCGAGTCAGTTGTCAAAGGAGCCCGCGCTCGCGCACTTGCGAATCCAGAAGACGTCCAAAGGTCATCAACGTGACCACTGAATTCTGCCGAACGGACCTCTCGCGCCGCATGCCGAAATCAGTCCGAACGCACTCGCGCGCGCTGGGGGACATGCTCACTGAATTCTGCCGAACGGACCTCTCGCGCCGCATGCCGAAATCAATTCGGACGCCCTCGCGCGCCAGGGGGGGGGGGGCGCGACTCGCGTCAAATCATATTATGCGGGCCACTCTCGCGAGTCGGTCGCGCGCGCATGTCGAACTCCTTCTGGTGCCTTCATCGCCGACGCGAGGACGCCGTCACCGTCGTCGGCGCGATCCGCGTCGGCGCCGTCACTGGTCGCGCCGTCGTCGTTGTCAACGTCGCCACCAGCGTCGCTGCGATCGTCGCCGCGTCTACCGCCCTCGACGCGGCTGCGGCGCCGCGCCCGCCCAAGTCGCCGACTCGCACTCAAGTGCCCGCTGGGATGTGCCCAGCGGTCAGCGCCGCCGCGGTCGCGTCGGTCGCGCCAAACAAGCTGGCCGCTGCGCGCGCGCATGCGCGGGCTGACGTCGCCGCGGGGATGCACCAGCCAACGCCGCGCACTAACGGCAATCGCCTCCACATGGGTTCTCCATGCCAAGTTGCGGGCGGGCGGGCGCGGTGATTGCGCGAGCAGAGAAGTTCAAGGTGAGCATTGGTGGATTCTCCTTGCTAAGACAACAGACTCCACCACCCTCCCGAGGCCGGACATACCGGTTCCCCCTGAGGATGCGCAATGTAAAATGGATTTTGCCCCATCGCCCATCCTAAATATGAAGTCGGCCTATCCGAGCCACGCTGGCATCCCCCTCTCATCCGTTTTACAAATAACGATTTGCGCGCGCAATAGTTTATCAACGCGTGTCCGTTTTCAAGAATCCCGCGCGCAGCGCGAAACGGAGTGCACGCTCGCGCGTCGTCGCGAGCGCGTGCCGACATCTTTCAGAAACCACCGGTTCCGCAACGCGGGTTTTCAAAACAAAAAAAAAACTGCGCGCGATCTTGCGAATTTTCAAGACAATCATACGGTTTTCAGCATTGTCAGACAATGCTACCCAACGGGCTTCTCGCGCGCGCGTGTCGAAATAGTCCGAACGCCATTGCGCGTGCGCCGTCGCGTGAATCCTTTACCAAAATTGAGACGAAGTGCACGCGCGCGCGTCGTCGCGCGCGCGCCGACCTCGCGATCTGCAGAATTCCAACGGTACGTGTTTCACCTTCGTCACAGAAGTCTGCCAAACGGACCTGTGGCACCGCGCGCCGAAATCAATCGCGCGCACTGGCCCGCGTGCTGGACGGGGCACGATCCGCGTCAAATAATACCAAGGGCCACGCTCGCGCGTCGGCTGCGCGCGCATGTCGAACTCGCTCCAAAACCTTCATCACCGACGCGAGGGCGACGTCATCGTCGCCGGCGCGATCAGCATCGGCGCCCGCGCTGGCCGCGCCGTCGTCGTCGCCGACGTCGTCGCCAGCGTCTCAGCTATCATCGTCGCGTCTACCGTTATCGACGTTGCCATGGTGCCGCGCCCGCCCAAGTTGCCGACTCGAATTAAAGTGCCCTCTGGGATGCGCCCAGCGGTCAGCGCCGCCGCGGCCGCGTCGGTCGCGCCAAGCTAGCTGGCCGCTGCGCGCGCGCAGCGGGGTTGGCGCGGCCGCAGAGATGGACCAGCATACGCCAAGCACTCATCGCAATCGCCGCCGCGTGGGTTTTGCAAATCAAATTGCGGGTGGGTGGGCGGGGCGCTTGCAAGGGCGCGGGCTGTGTCAACTCGCAAAAAAACAAGTGCGCCACGCAGAATGCACCGCGTAGGTTGCGCGCCGCGAAGATTGCGCATCACATAGGTTTTCTTCCCTCTCAGAATATCAGGACCCCCCCCCTTCCGCCCCTCGGACTTCACGCCTCGTCTTTTCGTTGTGTCTGTCGTGCATAAGTTTACGATTTCGTCGACGCTAAAGATGCATTATGACCATCCCTGGCAATCCACTGTCGCCACCCTCCCCCCTCTTCCTATGCGAAGCATGCTACGCGCGCGCATTCGATTATCAAACACCATCAGTTGTCCAAAACCCCGTTGCAGAAAATGAGACGAAGTGCGCGCGCATGCGTCGCCGCGCGCGCGCCGAAACCTTGGAAAAGCCTTAGTTTCGTAAGGGGTTTCACAACCGAGTGGCCGGAAACATACAAACCTACCACTGTCGGCGCAACAGAAAGCTACAAACAAGCAGAAACACCCTTGCGCTCTGTCGGGTTCTTAAGAACACAATCGATTCTTCCCCCGCTTCATCGCGTGCTACCAAATGCGCCTCCTGTGCGCGCATCCCGAAATCGTTCGAACGTCCCTTTCTGCGCGTTCTGTCGCAGGAAACGTTTAGACAATGAAACGATGTGCACGCGCGCGTGCCGTCTCGCGCGCATGCCGAACTCCTGCAACAACCTCAGGACCCGTAATGATTTCAAAATAGAGTGGCCCGAAGCTTACAAACAAACATGGTTTTTGCAACGACAGTTATCAAAAACAAGTCTGCGCTCGCGCTCTGGCGAGTCCTTCAAACAACGATGCGGTTTCGTTTAATTCGGCCAGACGGGAATTTCGCGACGCATGTCGAAATCATTCGAACGCCTGTGCGCGCGTGATGGGGAGGCACGGCCCGTGTCAAAGAGTACCATGCAGGCGACTCGCGCGCGTCGGCCGCGCGCGCATTTCGAAATCTTTCCAACATCTTCATCACCGACGCGAGCACACCATGATTCTCATCCGCGCGATCAGTATCCGAGCTGGCATTGGCTCTGCCGCCGTCATCGTCACCATCGTGACCATCATCGCAAGTATCGTCATCGTGTCTACCGTTGTCGACGTCGCCATGCTACCGCGCCCGCCCAAGTCACCAGGTCGTTTTTAAGTGCCCGCTTGTAGGTGCCCAGCGGTCAGCGCCACCGCGATCGCGTGGGCCACGTGGCGGGTGGGTCGGTGGGATGTTTGCGCGAGCAGTTGACAGCGCCAAGTTTTCCAAAACGAAGCGTGAAACATCGATTGCGCCACATCGTTTGCACAACATCGATTGCGCCACACAGATTGGCGTTACATAGGTTACACAACATATATTGAACAACACAGATTGCACCGCGCAGAGTGAACCATATAGAATGCCTCATTTTTATTTAATCGCTTCGCTCATGCCGCCGGCCCTGGAGCCCTCTTTAGGGCCTCTTGGGGGCCTCTTGGGGACCTCTTGGGAGTCTCTTGGGGCTCCTTGGCGGCGTTTTGGAGGCCCCCAGGGCCTCTTGGGGGGCTCTTGGGGGTAGTCGATTGCGGCTCCCCCCTCGGAGGCCACGATCCTCGTGAGGGGTGTCGAAAAATACCCTCCCCTGGAGTGGTCTGGTGGCTTCTCCCGGGCTTCTCTCGGGACCTTGCCGGGGTACTTTTCGTCCGGGGGCCCCCAGGGGCCGCTCCGCGCGCGCGAACGAGAAATATTGTTAACAATTTACCGGAGATCTTAGCACGCCTCTGGCCCGTTGGGCCGGCGAATTGCGCATTTTATATGTATGCCTCAACCTTTATTGCACGACGTATGTGCCACAGCGTAGACATCGCACCACAGAGCATTCATCACATAACTTGCATCGCGTACATGGCTCACAACCTATATGGCAAACGCACCGCTTGCGCAACATAGCTCAAGCCGCATTGCTTGGACCATATAGCCTGCCCCACGTACACTGCACAACTTTGAGATCCCAAACATTTTTGCCCAATTCTGACCCAGAACAAAACGAAACGACAACGACATTCATATTGAGCATCCAGAACGCGTGCGTCAACATCACGGACGAGGGGGAGGAGGGGGAGGGGGGGGAGGAGGGGGAGGAGGGGGAGGAGGGGAGGGGGGGGGGGGAGGAGGAGGGGGAGGAGGGGGGAGGAGGGGGAGGGGGGGGGAGGAGGGGAGGAGGAGGAGGAGGAGGAGATGAACGCGCGTCAACGTTGGTTGCAGAGCGAAGTCGTCGTCGGTGTCTTCGGTCGGCCGCGCCTTGCCGGTCGAGGCCCTGCGGCGGCGCCCCCTCCGCGCAGCGGCGGTGCCGCTGCCGCGGGCACGGCCGATGGCGCCGGCGCCTGGGCGGCGGAAGACGACGTCGACGACGGCGGCGACGACGACGGCGGCGACGTCCTCATCCCCTCCCTCCCTCCCTCGACTTTGCCCCTCGCTTTTTCCCTCGTCGGCCTCCCCGTCCGTCCTGGGAGGGAGGGAGGGTTGGGTGGAGGAGGAGGGGGAGCGCGCTTGGGCGCCTGGGCGACGGCGTCGCAGACGACCTCGCCTTGCTCTTCCTTTCCTCCTTCCCTACTCCTCCTTCGAGGCGTCCACCCCTCAGGCGTCCTGCGGGCCTGTGGCGCTCATTGAGCTCCATGGCGCTCCTGCCCCTCCTCCCCTCTCGCCCTTCCTTCGGGAGGGAAGGAGGGTGGGAGGGATGAGGAAGATGAAGTTGTGTTTGTCCTGGACCGTTTCTTGACGGTCTCGGAGCACCAGAAATTGTTCCCAGAGGCCGAGTATTGGGAGGCAGGCTCCGTCTCGACGTTTTGACGGTGCTCGAGGTCTTCGCACGAGGAGGGTGAGTTTTTCGGTCATCTCAAGCTCTCTGGCTCCGCAGTGGGGTCACGCTGTCCACAGTCTTCGGCTTGGAAGCTCTGCGAAAAACCTGCCCCCCGCACCAACCCTGGAAACTTCGCGCAGAGCCAGCAGGTCTGGGCTGAAGGGGCCGCGCGCGCAGCACGCGCGCCGCGCGTGACGCGCGCGCTCACGAGGAGAAGGCCCGCGCGCAGAACGCCCATGGCCGAGCGCGGCCTGCGAGAGCACGGTGCGTCCAAGACCGTGAGAGGGAGAGGAGGAGCAGGAGGGCGTGGGGTCTTCCCGGGCCCCCGACGTCATGCTTTGTTGATAGAGTTCTGCACGCCCGAGATGGGTACTGAAAGAATGGGTACGATGCCCAACAGCGGATCTTGTTCATTCTGAACAGGGCTCGCTGTCCACGCCGCCGCGGCCTGTGTCCATTCGAGACAGGAGGCCGCCTGCCCAACAGCGGCCGCTGTTGGTTTGGGACAACATTTGCTGTTGGGCATTGTACCCATTTTTTCGGTACCCATTTCGGGCGTCCAAAATAGAGTTGTGGAGGGCGGGAGAGGAGGCATGCTGCCAAACGGTTCCCAGACGTCTAAAAAAAACATGCTTCGAGCATGTTTTGGATCTGTAACAACATGTCTGAAACATGTTTCGAACCTGGCTTGCACATTTCAAACACATGTTTGATTCACTGATCGGATTGTTAGAGTGTCCAGTGTCATGGCATCGGCAATGATAACGTCGACCCCCAAAAGTCTCGTTCCATTTCCCCGGTGGAATGCCCCCCGAGCCGGCAAGGGGGTCCCCGAAGGCCGAAAGTGGAGAAAAGCTGCCTGTCGAGCTCTTGTTCATGACTCGGGGGGAGCACGACCCAGACACCTGACGTCATACTTTGTTCATGTCGTCAACCCCCCGAGGTTTCGACCCCCTCCCCAGGACTGGTTTTTCATCCTGACGGTCCTGAGGCCCGGGAAGGGCCCCCGGAGGCCAGAAATTGTGAAAAGCTGCTCGTCGCGATTCTGTTCATGACTCGATGGGGGCACGAAGAGGAAGGCGCTTCTGGGCAAGACTTGAGGGTCCATACCCACTGCAGCTTGGAGTTTCTTTCGGGCTCCCTCCCCCAGAAACCCAAGGCGCACCAGATATGGATAAACATATCTGACCCTTGCCAGCTCGATTTTTTCATCCACTCGCAGTGCGCTTCGGCCCTGCGGCGCCCCTCCCGCGGAAGTCCGAGACGCACTGGATATGGAGATAGATATCACCACCCACCAAACCACCACAACCCAACCCGAAGGCTCAGATTTACTCTCGATTTCCAGTGGGGGGGGTCGGGAAACATCGAAAAAACACGTGTGGAACCCTTACCCCCCCCAACCCGAAATTCGTGTCTTCGGGTTGGGTTGGGGTGTTCTGGTAGGTAGTCAAGATATTGCCCGCAGGCGCTCGCGCCTGGGCGGCGGCGGCGGCCGGCGTGGCCTGCGGGCTGTGGCTGGGCCTCCTGGTGGCGGTGCAGCCCGCCCAGGCCGGGCCTCTCCGCCCCCAGACGTGCTCGGCACCAGTCGGGGGAGAAAAAGATACGGATACGTGTTGTCCCCCGTCGTTTTCGGCCTTTCCTGGTCCTCCTGGGGAATCCTCGTTGTCACCGCTGGATTCGCCTCGAAATTCTGGTCAGAACGCACCCCAAGAGAGGTCCGGGGACAACACGTATCCGTATCTTTCCGCCCCCCAAACCAGGGGCCGCCCGCGCGGGGGGGCGCCCCGAGAGGCAGGGCGCGTTTCGGCTCCTCCGCTTCGATTCGGTGTCGATGGGTTCCGATATTCCGATCCGGTTTCGACTTCGGAATCCGATCTGGATTCGGATTATTTCTCAAGTGAGGCACTTCTACTCTGCCGATCTCTGCCGATTCGGCTCGTCCCGACTTGGCTGCCGACTTCCGCCCATCCGACGAATTTCGATCGCCGATTCGACTTGTCGATTCGATTCTGGGCTCTCCTGCCCCAGAGGGTATATCGTCCGAGGCCCGTGCGGTGTCCCCCGACCTCCAACTGACCAGCCTCGAACCCAGACCCCTTCGAGCAAGGAAGAAACCACGGCGGGAGGTTTTGAATGATTTTCGGCCTTTGGGGGCCCTTGCCAGGCCTCGGGACTGTCAAAAGCAAGCCGACTCTGGACGAAAAACCGGCCGGGAATAAGGCCGATTACAACTACTTCGGACAGTTCACGAACTACTTGGGGCGGAGTCCAACCACCGAACATGGGCCGATCGAAACGTGAAGGATTCCTATATTAATTCTACAAGACGGACACCAGAGTACAATCATAAAACAACCTCTGCAGAGCTTCTCAGGCGCTTCTCATGAGCGTCTGAAGCGCCTATGAAGCGTTTCTGAAGCGCCTCCGAAGCGCCTCTGAAGCGCCTCTGCAGCGCCCGTGAAGCGCCTCCGAAGCACTTTTGAGGAGCTCCTGAAGAGCTTATGAGGAGCTTATGAGCAGAGTCCGAGCAGCTTCCGAGGAGCTTCTGAGGCGCTGCTGAGGAGCTTCTGAGGAGCGAGCGTCTGAGGAGCTTCTGGGGAGCTTCTGAGGAGCTGCTGAGGAGGAGGAGGAGGAGGAGGGACACGATCGGAACGCGGGGTGGAGTGGGGTAGGACGAGGAAGAGGAGGATTTCCTGTACTGCCATTTTCCTATTACTTCATATTACCACTACCCTTTCTACTACTGCTACTACTGATATTACTACTACTACTACTACTACGACTACTACTACGACTACTACTACTACTACTACTACTACTACTACTACTACTACTACTACTACGACTACCACGACTACTACGACTACGACTACTACTACTTTTACTACTACTACTAATACGAATCATAATAATACTACTAGTACTACTACTACTACTACTACTACTACGACTACTACTACTACTACCACTACTACTACTACTACTACTACTACGACTACTACTTCTATTCATAGTAGTAGTAGTACTACTACTACTACGACTACTACTACTACTACTACTACGACTACGACTACGACTACGACTACAACAACTACTACTACTACTACTACTACTACTACTATTGCTACCACTGCTACTACTACTGCTACTACTACTGCTACTACGACTACCACTACTACTACTACTACTACTACTATACTACTACTACTACTACTAATACTAATACTACTAGCAGTACTACCAGTACTTCCACTACTACGACTACTACTGCTACTACTACCAGTACTTCCACTACTACCAGTACTTCCACTACTACGACTGCGACGACTACAGCACTATTATTACGACTAATACTACTACTACTACTACTACTACTACTACTACTACTACTACTACTACCGCTACGACTACTACTACCACTACTACTACTACTACTACTACTTCCACTTCCACTTCTACTTTTATTATCACTTCTACAACTACTATTATTTCGACTACTTCTACTACTACTACTACTACTACTACTCATGCTACTTCGACTACTACTGTGAGTAGTGTATACAATCTTGATGCTCTGACTATTATTATTATTATTACTACTACTACTACGAGTACTACTACTAGTGCTAGTACTACTACTACTGCTGTCACTACTATCTTTACGACTACTACCAGTACTACTACTACTGCTACTACTACGACTACTACTAGTGCGATTTCTGCTACTACCACTACTACTGCTACTGATACTACTACTCAGGCTAATAAAAACACCAATACGACCACTAATGGTAGTGTTACTACTACGACTACTATAATGGTCCTATTAGTACAAGTACGTCTACGACTACGACGAATACGACTACGATTGCTACTTCTATTGCTACTGTTACTACTACTGCGACGACCACTATTACAACTACTATACTACTTCTACTCGTCCAGCCTACGACTTGTACGACTACTACTACTACGACTACGTGCTCTATTACCACTACTTCTACTACGGCTACTGACACGACAGCTACTACTGTCACGGCAACCACAGCAACAATAACAACAACAGCTAATACTAGTACTAGTGGTAGCACTAGTACGGCCACCACCACCATCACTACTACTACGGCTTTTTCTATTACGACGACTACGGTTATTATCCTTATTCGTGGTGTTACTGCTACTACTACTACTACTACTACTACTATTACTACTACTACTGCGACTACTACTACTGCTACCAGTACTAATGCTACTACTACTACTACTACTACTACTACTACTACTACTACTACTACTACTGTTACTACTACTACTACTACTACTACTGCGACTACTACCACTACTCCTACTATTACTACTACTTTTAACACTGGCACCACCACTAATACTGATATATGACATTGCTAATACGACTGCTACTATGACCGTTGCTGCCACTATAACTACTCTTACTGCCACGACTACGACGACCACTACCACTACCATTACGTCTGCTGCGACTACTACTACTACTACTACTACTACTACTACTTCTACTAATACGGCCACTACTAGTACGACTACGATGATTCCTGCGGCCACAGCTACTACTAATATGGCTACTTCTGTTGGCACTGCTGATGCTGACACGAATATTGCTATGATTACTACTACTACTACTACCACCACTACTACTACTACTACTACTACTACTGCTGCTGCTGCTGCTGCTGCTGCTGCTGCTGCTGCTTCTACTAATATTACGACTGCTGTTTTTATGGTTGATATTGTTCTTGCTACTACTAGTGTTAATTCTACTACGGCTACTACTACGACTATTACTACTTCTACCACTACTACTACTACGACCACGCGCTCTATTAGCACTACTTCTGCTACGACTACTGACACGACAGCTACTACTGTCACGGCAGACACAGCAACAATAACAACAACAGCTAATACTAGTACTAGTGGTAGCACTAGTACGACCACCACCGCCATCACTACTACTACGGCTATTTCGGCTACGACGACTACTGTTCTTATTCGTATTCGTGTTACTACTGCTACTACTACTACTACTACTATTACTACTACTACTGCTGCTACGACTACTACTACCATTATTACTACTACTACTACGACGACGACTACGACTACTATTACTACTACTACTACTACTACTACTACTACTACTACTACTACTACTACTGCTACTACTGCTACTATTACTACTACTACTACTACTACTACTACTACTACTACGATTACGACTACTACCACGATTCCGCTACTATCACTACTTTTAACACCGATACCACCACTAATACTAATACATGACATTACTAGTACGACTACTACTATTACAGCTGCTGCTACTATAATTACTCCTGCTACCACGACTACGACGACCACTACCACTACCACTACATCTGCTACGGCTACTGCTACTACTACTACTACTACTACTACTATTACTACTACTACTACTACGACCGCTACTAGTACGACTACTATGATTCCCGCGACTACAACTACTATTAATATTGCTACTTTTGTTGGTACTGCCACTGCTAGTACTAATGATGATACCACTGCTGATGCTAACACGAATATTGATATGACTACTACTACTACTACTACTGCTACTACTATTTTTACGACTGTTATTCTTATGTTTGTTACTACTCTTGCTACTACGGCTACGACTACCGCTAAAACACCAACAACCACTATTACTACTATTGCTACTGCTGATACTAGCACGACTGCCGCCACCACCACCATTATCACTAGCACGACTACTATTACTAAGCTACTATTTCGGTTTTTGTTGCTACTACTTGCCGTATTAGTAGAAGTGATTCTTATTCTCATGATGACTGCGGCTACTTCTACCACTGCTACTAGGATTTCATTTATTACTACAAACACAAATGCTATCCATTATGGTTTCTACCCTACTTCTATTACTACTAATACTCGTGCTAAATATTATCATAACCTATTTATAGATAACACTACTAGTACGTTACTCATAATACTACTACTACTACTACTACTACTACTACTACTACTACTACTACTACTACTACTACTGCTACTAGTGCGACTACAGCTACCACTACCACTGCTGCGACTTCTATTACCACCAGTACCACTACTGCCGCCATTACTAGTTGTAGCGCTACCACCTACTACTACTACTACTCCTACTACTCCTACTACTACTACTACTACTACTACTACTACTACTACTACTCCTGCTGCTGCTGCTACTACTACCACTACTACTACTACAAGTACTTCTACTGCTTCTACTACTGCTGCGACTACTGCTACTACTCCTTCGGCGACTACTACTACTACTACTACTACTACGACTAGTTTTGCGACTGCGACTACTACTCCCTAAATACGACGACTACTTCTAGTATTACTACCACTGTTACTACTACTGCTATTACGACGACGACTACTACTACTATTACGATTGTTAGTATAACTTCTATTTATACCAATAACACTTAAACTAATGATACGGTCGCTACTATCACTTCCACTGTCACCACGACGACTACTGTTACTACTGCGACTACTTCTACTGCGTCTACTACTACTACTACTACTAATAATAATAATACTGCTACTGCTACTGCTACTACTACTAGTACTACTACTAGTACTACTACCAGTACTACGACTACTACTACTACTACTACTACTACTACTACTACTACTTCTACTACTACTACTTCGGGGGTACTAGAGTTTTTGACCATAAAATGAGAATTGCCTCGCTGGTCACGCGTGCCGCGGAGGACCGATCAGGATGCAAAGGTGCCTTGATGCGGATTCGCGAGCCTTTGTGGGCCCTCTGGGACGGCCAACCAGTGAACCGAGAGCGACCGCATTGGAGAAGGATGCCCAGGGTCTCACAGCATCAATGCAACAAGGAATACAATGAAA